GGTGGGAGAATTCATTATCCATATAAATGATTAGACGATTCCTTAATTCACACTGGAAATAAAAATAATTCCAAATACATGTGCTGTACTGCGCTTAGTTGCTTAGTCATGCCCGACTCTTTTCGACCCCATGGACTGTAGCCTGTCAGTCTCCTCTGTCCATAGAATTCTCCAGGCAAGAATACTGGAGTAGGTTGCCGTGCTCTGCTCCAGGGGATCTTCCTAACCCAGGGATTGAACCCAGGTCTCCTGCCTTGCAGACGGATTCTTTATGACTTAAGCCACCAGGGAAGAATTCATTATCCCTAGAAATGATTAGATGATGCCTTAATTCACACCAGAAACAAAAATAAATTCCAAATACATAAAAGATCCTAGTTTGAAAAGAAGACATATTTTTAGAAGAAAATACACAAGCACATTCTTATAACCTCAGAGTGGAAGGACTTCTTAAGTTACAGAAAGTGCAAATTATTAAGAAAATAAGATATCACCTCACACCCGTCAGAACAGCTATTATCAAAAAGACAACAAATAACTAGCATTGGTGAGGCTATGGAAAAAAGGGAAACTTCATGCAATGTTGGTGGGAATGTAAATTGGTACAGCCACTATGAAAAACTGTATGGAGGTACTTCAGAAACTTAAAAATAGAACTACCATACAATTCAGTATTTTTACTTCTGGGTATTTATACAAAGAAAACAAAAACACTAATTCAAATAGGTGTATGCACTTCAGTGTTCAAAGCAGCATTATTTATAAAAGTCAAGATATGGAAGCAACCTAAGTGTCCATCAACAGAAGAATGGATAAATGTTTGGCATATATATACAACAGAATATTTCTCATATACCATAAAAAGATTGAAATTTTGTCATCAACAATGTGAGTGGACCTGCAGGACATTACGTTTAGTGAAATAAGTCAAATAAGTCAGAGAAAGACAAATGTATGATTTCACTTATATGTGAAATCTAAGAAATAAAACAAATGAAAAAATATAACAAAACAGTAATAGACTCATAGATACAGAGAACAAACTAGTGATTACCAGAGAGGAGAATGGTGGTAGGGTCAGGGACAAAATAGGTCAAGGTGATTAAAAGGTACAAGCTAACTAGGTATAAAATAAGTAAGTTACAAGGATGTAATGTTTAGCACAGGGATGTAATGTTTAGCACAGGGAATATAGTCAATATTTTATAGTAACTTTGTATGGAGTGCAGTCTATAAAAGAATTACCATGTTGTACACCTGAAATGTTGTAAGCCAACTATGCTTCAATAAAAAATAAAATAAGCAAACTAATAAGTTAAAAATAAGAGCTCAGACATAATAGACAACATGAACAGACAAGTCATATGCTGGAATAAAACATTTACAACACACATAGCTCACAAAAGATCAGTATTGGGAGTATTTCAAAACCTATCTAAAAATAAGGAAAAAGTAGTAATCTCTCCATTTCTGCTTCAGCAAAGGGTCATAAATTCATAAGCAGTAATTTAAAAGAGGAGGAAATGAAAATGACCAACAAACATACTGAAAAGATGCTTCTCTTGTCTTAATAAGAGACATGCACATTAAAACCATTTATTTTGAAATGCCATTTCACACCCTCCAGATTAGAAAACAATGAAAATTTAGATAATGGCAATGTTGATGAAGCAGAATAACTGCTGGTGGTAGCATCAATGACACAGAAATTTGAAATGGAATTTGACATAATGAGTAAAGTTAATCATGTCCATAATATGGCCCCACTGTTCCTCTCTTAGGTAGGTACCTTGGAGACACTCTTGCACAAGCTCATCGGACACCTGGGCAAGATGGAGTGTTGCTTGAATGAGCAACAAACAGGAAATACCCAGAGAGGGCCAAAAGGGAACATCACATTATGATACTCCCCTAAATCTTCTAGTGGTTTCCCACCTTAATTAGAATAGAATTTTAAACTCCTCATCCTCTGCTTGTCTCTCTGATTTCATCAGGTGCCCATTGTGGTTCCTCCGGACACATGTCTTCTCCACTTCAGAGCAACATGCTCCTTCCCAGTCATTTTGTGCTTGGCTCTTTTTCATCCTTAAAGTCAGCCTAAATATCACTTGGAAAGTCCTTGACTTGCCACTTCATCTAAAGTAGTTTTTCCCATCTTAATCTCCATCTCTGCCCTGAAATTATTTCCTATAATAACATACATTAATATTTAAATTATGCATGTATATATGCATTAATTAATAGTATACATATATTTTTTGCCTATGTTCAATGTTAAATTCATAACTTTCATAAGGACAGGGACTAGGTCTATCTTGCTTTTTTTTTTTTCTGTCTTGCTTTTGATTGTACTTGCTGTGTCTTCCACATAGCCTGGTGTATAATTCTTAGTCAATAAATCTTTGTTGAACTGAATGATTGAATGAAAAAACTGCATAAATTGTATGTATCTGTTTGAGCAGTTTGTTGACCTGAGGGTACATTTGATTAGCTTTAGTTCATGGGAAAGATAATGGGATAATACAACAGCCACGTAAATTCCCAGCATTTATTTAGAAGGTACAGGGAAGTGTTTATCTTTTTTGATTCTTTTTTAAATTGAAGTATAGTCAATTTTCAAGGTTGTGTCAGTTTTGGGTGTACAGAGAGTGATTCAGTTATATGTATATGTATATTTTTTCAGATTCTTTTTCCTTATAGGTTACTACAAGACTGAGTATAGTTCCCTGTGCTCTACAGTAGGTCCTTGTGGGTTTCTATCTGATTTTTGACCTCAAATAATTAACCAACACATGACTGAGTGCTTCAAAAAATTATTTTAAATGATTTTATACACAATATGTAAAGTAGATCTTTCAACTAAACTAAAACTCCTCTAGTGCCAAAATATTTGGAGGTATGAATAATGTTTTAAGATAGGTTCCAATACACATAAAAAAAAACCTTACATATACTAATATATAGATTTGATGTTGAATATTCAAAGATGCAGGTAAAATAGGCCTGGGCTCTTTTTAAAAAGTCTTAAATATGGATTGATGCAGGTTTTTATTTTATTAGTATTCCATTTATCTATATTTATTTAAATCATGTGTATTATATGTACTTAAATTATATTTTGCATGTTTTATACATTTTAATAGTTTTATACATTTAATTTAATTTTTCCTGGTTAGATCTTGAGCTCCAAGAAGAGTTTGCACTACAGTCAATGTAAGAGAAGGATTAGGTAGACAGAGTAACTAAAGAAACAAATTTCAGGAAAATATGGAAATAATCCAAGAGTTTTACATTTTCAATCAGAATTGTACTCTTACCCAAATAACTATAATGCAAGTAATGTAGTTTTATTTTATTGATGAATGGAAAAATTAAACTCACTTTAAATAGATGTATTGAGAAATATTTTACATAAATTCAGGCTCTTGATCTCAAAAACTTTAAAAAAGTGATTGAATTTGTCTTCCTAAACTGACAGTCTAATATGTGAATGCTACTAGTGGGATTTCTTTATTTTCTATTTAATTTTTAAAAGCTATAATTTTGAGTACTTTTTTGTGTAAATGATTTAAAATGATTAAAAAATAAATCAGACAATTGACTTTCTGGATATGGTGCTATGCAAAAGTGAAGTTCAGATATGGAGGTTCCTCTTCTACTTAGACTTGATTACTTTACATGGAAGTTACATTAACATTTATGCCAGATGGAAAGTAAATTTTAGGTGGTTAGCATGCTGTAATGTATATAGAAGTAGAAATAATAAACATGAAACATAATATTATAGACCAACGTCATCTCCATTAAAAACATTTACACTGAAGTTGGATGAGTTATAATCTATAAAAATTTGATTGCGTTGTATATCTGAAACTCATGTAGTTTTGTAAGTCAGCTAAACCTCAATTTTATAAAAGTTGGATGAGAAACTTTTTCTTGTAAGGATTTCCACCTGCACTTGATTTCCCCATTGTATAAGTTGCTAGAAAATTATTATGAGACAAAATGAATAAAGAGTAGAAAAATGAATTTTCAAAAAAAATGAATTTTCATTAAAATGATAAATTATCAGAGTGGTGTTCATGTAGGTATTAATAATTATAGCTAAAAAAGATATGTTCTGAATCTAGTCAAAGCTGCTATAAATCATTTTACAGTAAGTAGCAGGACCAGACTACAGCCAGTATCATTTTAACATTTAATTTAGAAAGCTCCAAAGAAGGAAACTATTTTGATATTTTAATAATTACTATTTTGATACTTGGGTTTCCTGGTGGCTCAGACAGTAAAGAATCTGCCTACTATGCGGGAGACCTGGGTTTGATCCCTGGGTTGGGAAGATCCCCTGGAGAAGGGTATAGCAACCCACTCCAGTACTCTTGCCTGGAGAATCCCCATGGACAGAGGAGCCTGGCAGGTTAGTCCATGGGGTCACACAGAGTTGGAAACGACTGAACGATTAAGCACACAGCATATTCTGATACTTATACCATAATTTTGACAGCAAAAGGAGGTTTTTGGTTTAACTATTTGATTCAATGGACATGAACTTGGGCAACCTCTGGGAGATGGTGAGGGACAGGGAAGGCTGGAGTGCTACAGTCTATGGGGTCTCAAAGAGTTGGACATGACTTGGCAATCAAATAACAACAACCACACCACCATCAACAGCAGTTTGGTTTCACTTACTGTGAACCTGAGAGTGGGTCAGGAACCGAGTAACTGCATAGCTGGCTAGCTTGCCAGTACGTATTAAATAGTACTACAATTATTATTAAACAACAATTATTGTCCCTGCATGGTGATGAGTTCTATTTGCTCAGCAAATCACATCTTTGCTATGTACTCCCTTAAAATCCACCAGCCCGGGGGCCTGGGCTGTGCCCTCTGTTTCTCCTTGGCAGAATCCTCCCTTTGGGGATGAGGCAGGAGCTCTCCAAGCAACATCTGTCGGGTGGCCGAGGTCATGGGGTTGGGGCGGGCAGAGAGGATGCACCCACCTGAGAAACACCGCGCCGGGGCTGTCAGGAACGCTGCTGTGGGCCTCTGAACCCGACTTGCCTGGGCTGCCTGGAGTCTCAGACCAGAACATCGTGTCATTGCTTGGTGAGAGCCTTTTCTTCACCATTGTACACTTGTCAGTCGCCAACTCAAGAAGTAAACTCAAGGGCTCATTTTTCAAGCTCCCCAATAATGTGAAAATTCAGCCTTGTTCGGTTTCTGCATTGCAGGAAGCTCTTTCTTCACATGACTCCTAATCTAGCTGAGGTGATTTTTTCTTTTTTTTTTTTTTTGAAGCCAGTTAATGAGTAACATGTAAGTATAACATGGAGTGGTTTTCATCCTACCCACATTTGCTCTGAAGGAGAAATAAACATGTTTGGCAGACTCAGCTTTCAGTTTACTAATAGGAACACCATATGACTCTGGATTTAGGCCAAAACATCAATGGAAACTCAAAGACTTAAAAGAATGAGATGCAGAGACTGGCAGTAACTAAACATTAAAAGCAGAAATGTTTCCTTTAACCTCCTGAGCCTGATCAAAAGGGCAGGGAATGTGCTTGACGTATAGGAAATAACTAGCCCATGTTTGGTAAGACACAGGAGGCTGTGTGCTGTGGTGCTGAGTCTCTGGGACCTGGAGAGCTCTAGAGTTCTTATGGAAGTGATACGGACAAAGTTAGGGGAGCTTCAACATTCAGGCTATATATTTTGCTGGTTATATGAAACTGTACTTGGTACCAAAATGGTGATGACAATAAAGACCAAAAAACACTAGGAGTTAAGGGCTCAGACTCCATCCATTGCATGCTGGCTGTCTAACCACAGGTGATCCCAACCCTGCCAAGCATATCAACCATGCTTCTCTCACAAGATTAGAAGGAAATCATATTGGAGAATATTCTACATATTATCATTTTTGTTATTTAGAACCCTACTAAGAGTGTGAAAGTGAAAGTGTTAGTTGCTCAGTCCTGTCCAACTCTTTGTAACCCAGTGGACTGTAACCTGCCAGGCTTCTCTGTCCATGGGATTCACTAGGCAAGAATACTGGAGTGGGTTGCCAATCTCTTCTTCAGGGGATCTTCCTGACCCAGGGATCAAATCCAGTTTTCCTGAATTGCAGGCAGATTCTTTACCGCCTGAGCCAGCAGGGAAGCCCACTAAAAGCAGGAGGGAAAATGAATTTACTGTGTGATAATCTTCAGATCGTCAATCACTTAATGTTTCTGCACAAGAAAAACATCAGTTTTTCACCAGTGTTACTAGTGGCAGGGAAGGATTTAGCTCAGAGGAGCTATATTCTCTCTCTTCTGTTTCCCTTGTGATGAGTCAGTGACATTGGAGAATGACTGCCTTAAGTGAAGTACACAGATTCTGATAGTGGAAGAGAGCAAAGTTTCCTGGGAAATCAAACCTTTAGCCTTGCTTTTGTTAGCACTTTGCTCTAACCAGCTGATAACCAGTCAGGGGTAGGTTTTTGCTTCTCTGTGTGCAGTACCGACTCTAAGCATACTTTTGAAATTATTAGATAAAGTGTATATTTCAGTAGGATTTTACTGGTGCCTACCAAAATGACCAGTTTATCCCAGTTTGTCCAGAATATCCTTAGTTTTCAGCATTGAATGCTCCACATCCTAGGAACCTCTTAGAGTTGGGCAAACCAAGGCAGGTGGTTATCCTGGTTCCAGGTGTTGTCTGTTGGTGTAACGCACCAGCTGTGTAATGCAGAACTGTGTAATGCACAATTCTGATGGTGTAATGCACCCAGCTTCCCTCATTTTTTTTTATAGTGCAGTATACATATTTCTCTTTTTCCATTTATGTTTCCCCTATGTACCCCTTTTGTGTTGCAATTATGTTAGAAAGATATTAGGTAAGGTAATTTATACTAAAGTGGATTAATCAAACCCATCATGACCTAGTGATTATCATATGAAGTGAGTAAGACAGAGGAAGACAAATATGATATCACTTATATGTGGAATCTAAAAAAAATGATACAAATGAATTTATTTGCAAAACAGAAATAGACTCACAGACATAGAAAACAAACTGATGGTTAACAAAGGGGAAATGTGGGGGAGGGATAAATTTAGTTTGGGATTAACAGATACACACTACTATATATAAAATAGATAAACAGCCAGGACCTACTGTCTAGTACAGGGAACTATATTCAGTATTTCACAATAACCTGTAATGGAAGAATCGATCTATTGATAAAACCTGAATCACTTTGCTGTACAGCTGAAACTTAGGCAACATTGTAAACCAGCTATACTTAAAAAAAAAAAAAATCAAATCCATTACCAAACCTCTATAATAGCAGCAGCCTATAAGGTAATTTCTGTTCCTTATGAACAAAAAAGTCTCATCCGCACAGATACTACAACCAATGAAACATAATGTTACTGTTTCCTAGGCTGGTTTGGATTTTAACTGGGGGCAATGCTTAACTCAGGACAAAATGTCTCAAAAGGAAGAAATCCTAGGGTCAGCAGTGTCTTTGGATGTATTTTTCAATAGAGAAGATTTCTTAATATTCACTCAAATCAACAATATTTTATCAGCAAGTCTCCATGCTAGCTGCAGTGAGTGATACAAAAATATTTTAAGAAATGGGTCCTTGCTCCATTGTGTAGCTAGGAAGAGAAAATATACGTAATTGAAAAGTTAACTAACCAATGAAAGAGGGAGGAAAGCAGTAAATCAGGCTAGTATTTCTTGAATCTCTGTACTATCTAACATCTTTTGTGTCTATGTAGGATCTCTGCTAGATAATTTAATAATCACATTTAATCATTGCCAAAGCCATATCTTTACAGATGATGAAAATATATCTTTAAAAAAGTTAAGCAATTTGGCCATCATTAAGTGGCCATAAGAATGTGATCTTGCCAGATTTGATTCACTCATTCAAGAAATGTTTATTAAGTGTTACTTTTTAAAAAGAGGCAACATTATCTGAGACTGGGATAATTTAGAAAGGCATAGAGGAAAAGGTGGAGTTTGAGTTGAGCTGTGAAGATTGAGGAGATACTAGAAAGGCAGAACAGGAAGGGAGCAGGGCTTGTGAGCAAATAAACAGGCACGGACCATGCATGTATATGAGAGTGGAGTGTTTGTGTCAGGGATGTCGGGGAAGAACTTTGAACATCTAGATGTTGGCTGAATTGTGAAGGACCCTGAATGCTGATGGGTAGTTCAAGCTTTATCTTGTAGGCACTGGAAATAAAGTGAGGAAAGATTAGTCTGATGGCCATGTGCATAATGCTTTAGAAGCAGAAGGAAATGAGTGGATTCACTACTGCAATCATCTGGTGATATGGTTGTTTCATAGAGGCAGCAACTACTAGCCTATGGGAGGCAGCCCTGAAGTAGTGGAAACAGTGTTGACTGAACTCTTACATAAGATATCAGGTTCATTCCTTATCATAAGAAACTGTGTCAGAGATGAGATTTGCTGAAATTCTAGAGCATGGGTCACAAACTCAAATGCCTTCAAGACCCAGAAGAGAAGTAAAACTATGACAGGGGAGAGGGGGCATAGAAGTCTGTAGAAAGGGGGAGAGAAGTGGAGCGCTCATGCCCTCCCTGGAACCTGTCAGTGTGAAACTACAGATGCTGGTGGGAGAGAGCAACTCACACTTGGCTGAAGGCAGGATTCAGTCATGGCTTTTCTACTGAATTCCACTTCTTGATATGAGCTACCTATGATCAGTCTTAAAAATTTTACTAGTAGTCATGTCTGCACTTTATGTTCAAACAGGAGTAAGGTTCTGATAGCACATGACCACTGAAAGAAATGTGACTGATTACTGTAGTTTTTAAATGGGTGACAGTTGACAGCTGTGCATCAATCTACACCTGCAGACACTCAGCTGCCACTGTTTGACCCCTTTGGCTGTGTTTAGATGTGGCCTATACTCAGAGCACTTTTAGCCTTTGCCACAACTTTCATTTTTATGTGGAAAAATGGAAATGAAGACCAGGTGACAGAGACACTGGCAAAAAAAGAAAAAAAAAGTATGATCTGTGATAACAACCAGAATACAATGAAAATAAAAATAGCAGAGACCTTTCATATCTTTCCATGGAAAGGGAGGTTAATAAATTAAACAAGATAAAAACTGACAACTAGGAGGCAGTTTTAAGTAAGACCACCAATGATGGAAATATCTCATTTTTCTGATGCTTTCCAGTAAGTCACAGTGCTGTATCTTTATCAACAGAGATTATAAAAGGCAAAGTGGTTGACTGAGGAGACTTTACAAATAGCTGAGGAAAGGCGAGAAGTGAAAAGCAAGAGAGAAAGGGAAAGATATACCCAATTGAATGCAGAGTTCAGAGAATAGGAAAGAGAGATAAGTCCTTCTTCAATGAAGAATGCAATGAAGTAGAGGGAAATAATAGAATGGGAAAGACTGGAGATCTCTTCAAGAAAATTGGAAATATCAAGGGAATGTTTCATGCAAAGATGGGTGCGATAAAGGACAGAAATGGTAAGGACATAACCAGAGGCAGAAAAGATTAAGAAGAGGTGGCAAGAATACACAGAATTGTACAAAAAAGGTCTTAATGACCCAGATAACCATAATGGTGTGGTCACTCAACTAAAGTCAGACATCCTGGAGTGTGAAGTCAAGTGGGGCCTTAGGAAGCATTACTACAAACAAAGCTAGTGGAGATGATTGAATTCCAGCTCAGCTATTTCAAATCCTAAAAGATGATGCTGCTCTCAATATGTCAGCAAATTTGGAAAACTCAGCAGTGGCCACAGAACTGGAAAAAGTCAGTTTTTATTCCAATCCCAAAGAATGTTCAAACTACCAGACAATTGTGCTCATTTAGCATGCTAGTAAGGTTATGCTAAAAATCCTTAAATCTAGGCTTCAGCAGTATGTGAGCCAAGAACTTCCACATGTAGAAGCTGGGTTTATAAAAGGCAGAGGAATCAGAGATCAAATTACCAACATTCATTGGATCATTGAGAAAGCAAGGGACTTCCAGAAAAACATCTACTTCTGCTTCATGGACTACATGAAAGTCTTTGACTGTGGGGATCAAAACAAACTGAGGAAAATTCTTAAAGTGATGCGAGTACCAGACCACATTACCTGTCTCCTGAGAAACCTGAATGTGGGTCAGAACAATGCAACTGAATGCAACAGTTAGAACCTTACATGGAACAACAGACTGGCTCAAAATTGGGAAAGGAGTATGTCAAGACTGTGTATTGTCACCCTGTTTATTTAACTTATATGCAGAGTACATCATGTGAAATGCTGGACTCGTTGGATCACAAGTTAGAATCAAGATTGCTGGGAGAAATATCAACAACCTCTATATGCAGATGATACCACTCTAGTGGCAGAAAGTAGAAGAACTAAAGAATCTCTAGACGAGGGTGTAAGAGGAGAGTGAAAAAGCTGGCTTAAATCTCAACATTCAGAAAACTAAGATTATGGCATCCGGAAGCCAATGGCACCCCACTCCAGTCCTCTTGCCTGGAAAATCCCATGGACCGAGGGGCCTGGTAGGCTGCAGTCCATGGGGTCGCTAAGAGTCAGACGCGACTGAGCGACTTCACTTTCATTTTTCACTTTCATGCATTGGAGAAGGAAATGGCAACCCACTCTAGTATTCTTGCCTGGAGAATCCCAGAGACGGGGGAGCCTGGTGGGCTGCCGTCTATGGGGTCGCACAGAGTCGGACACAACTGAAGCGACTTAGCAGTAGCCGTAGCAGTACCATCAAATTCATGGCAAAGAGAAGGGAAAAGGTAGATGCAGTGACAGATTTTATTTTCTTGGGTTCCAAAATCACTGCAGATGGTGACTCCAGCCATGAAATTAAAAGACGCTTGCTCCTTGTGAGGAAAGCTATGACAAATCTAGACAGCATATTAAAAAGCAAAGATCACTTTGCTGACAAAAGTTAATATAGTCAAAGCTATGGT